ACGCGTGAGCCGCAGCCCAGCTTCGGGGCTGGCCCCGGCGCCCACAGCCAGCCCCCGGGGGCCACCAGGGGCTCTGCCACCCAGGCTCCCCGAGGCCCTTTTTTGTTCTTTTGGGAGGCAGTTAAAAATTCTTCTTTTTAATCTTTACAGGAAGGTTCCAGATAAGAAGGGGAGGGGGGAAAAAAGAAAAAAGAAAAAAAAAACCAACCAACAAACAAAACGTTTTGGGAAGAGGGGTGAGCGGGGCCCGGGCACAGTAGCAAGAGCAACATAAATGCGTGAAAGGAGGAAAGCGGCTGATCTTTGGGCAACGACACCACGGCACTGAATTACTGAGATGTCCATCCTCATGGCAGCATCTTGGCCGCAGATCCCAAACCAGTCAGCGCCGCAACCTCCTTCCCGAAAGCTTACGCAGCGGCTCTGCAAGGCCCCTCTTCTTTTTAATCTTTACAGGAAGGTTCCAGATAAGAAGGGGAGGGGGGAAAAAAGAAAAAAGAAAAAAAAAACCAACCAACAAACAAAACGTTTTGGGAAGAGGGGTGAGCGGGGCCCGGGCACAGTAGCAAGAGCAACATAAATGCGTGAAAGGAGGAAAGCGGCTGATCTTTGGGCAACGACACCACGGCACTGAATTACTGAGATGTCCATCCTCATGGCAGCATCTTGGCCGCAGATCCCAAACCAGTCAGCGCCGCAACCTCCTTCCCGAAAGATCACGCAGGGCGTATGCAAGTCCCCACCACCTCCCCTGGCACCGTAACTCGCAGCAGCGCTGAGGCTCCGCGGTCCCTCCCCCCTGCAAAGCCCGTGGGGGGGTCACCCACCACCCCTGCGGGGCTCCGGAGCATCCTCAGAGGACAAGAGGTTGCAGAAGAGCTTATGGGATTCACGGAAGGACAGTGAGGTGCCGCTCGCCCTCCGAGCCCAGGATAACAGCATTGCTTGCCTGGGTCATTGCAGGCAAACCATTTTGGCTCAGTCTTTGCTTTGTAAGAATTTGGGGGGAAACTGCCCCCAAACCATGCCTGCTTTCTTTTAAGGGCAACTCCATAAGTCTTATGTAGCAAAGAGGGAGTGGAAGCAGGACCAGTATTAAAGTAGGATGAGGGGACCAGAAATAACTTATTTAAAAATAGATAATATATATTAAAACTAAAAAGAGTCAGAGCCACCCGGTGAGGATGGGAAGCGCCCGCCGGGATCGGGTGGAGGATCCCCTGCTGTCGCCCCACTCCGCAGCTCCCCGTCAGCAGCTGGAACGGTTCAGGGACACGCGTCCCTCGGGAGACACACAGCGGGAGGGCAGGACTCGAGGTCCACATCACCCCCAGGCACCGGGGATGAGCCAGATCGACAGCGTTTTTCCATTAAACCCCCCTCCTCATTTCTGACAGTGGCCTTTCCCCCCTCCATCCATCAGCCTGAGCGAAACCCTTCCGCGAGCGAGCGCCTGCACCGTGGGACTCCCTCCGCTGTCTTATTTACATATCAAGACAACACGCGATTTAAGTTAACCCGTTAACACACTGTAACAAAGCGTCTCGGATAGGAGTGCTCCTTTCACATGCCTTACACAGCTTCGAACTTCCCGTGAAGTTTAATAAACTGATACTATCCCCCCACCGCTTACGCGCCCCTAACGCGATGGTCTTCGATCCGCCAGACCAGTAGGAGTAGGATGCCTGGGCAGCTCTCCCGGCTGAGACAGCATGGATCATTGTAGAAGGTAGAGTTTTATAATAGACAGTACTTAGTGGCCAACGCCATGTGTATTCTCCCACTTCCTGCACTTTTGAAACCAAAGGTACCTTCGCTGAGAGAGATCAGATTTCTTCGGACCGTTTCGCAGACGGCGAACGACATTAGGATGGATTTTTCTTTCATTTCTTTTTCTAAGGAGGATGTTTTTGTTCCGCGTAATGGATTAAATGCAATAGGATTAATGCAATTATTCTTTTAGCTTTCAAGCTGGTTTGCTATGAAGACATATTGCTAACAAGAATACTTCTACTAATATGGATTGTTGAGATGGACTTTGACACATTCTTTAAGCTGCTAATGGCACAACTACCCTGCGCTCCGGGGAAGAGCCCGGACCCGGTCAGCACCCGCGCAGCACTTACTGCTGGATCACACGGAGAGAACGGATGCAAACCAAACAGCAAAGGAGTTACATGCGCCGTAGGAGCCAAGGAGGACGTAGGCTGGTGTTACCAGGCAGAGGGACCCCCGAGAGCTGGGGGTGCTCCTGTCACCCCAGGGCAGCGCAGGGATGTCCCCGCTCCACCGCGCAGGAACCCATCTGCAGGGGTCCTCCATCCGTGTCGTCTCGCAGGGCAGGAGCCACGCGTCCTGCTCCGTCACCGACGGTGTAAACGCCTTCATGCAACAAGCTTATTTCTACAGCTGCCACTCGCCACCGAGGCGGTTTAAGGAGAGCACCTCCCAGCCCGTTCCCGGGACGTGCAGCAGTTGCATTCGGTTTTTAAGCAAACACACCAGGCCAAATGTAACGCAGCCCTTGGTCACGGGGATAATCGCTTCCCAAGCCTACGGCTGTTCCTACAACGGGAGTTTGCGTAACTTCTTGCCCAACCACTGGTGGAAATGAGGAGAGAGAGAGAGAGAGAGAAACTACAGCCTCCGCTGTGGAAAAGCCTCTGCCGCCAGGGTTGGGCAGCTTCATTCCCACCCTCTTCCTCACCGCTTTGTGGACCAACCGCTAACGAGGGACCACAAGACCCCTGGCGACCACACAACACCCCCAAACCTCAAGAAAGTTGGTCAGGCATCACTAGAGGCAGGGCGGTCCATGTCATGTACCTGTATTACGTGCCATTTGTATTAAAGCCTGTATTTCTGTCCTGTCACGAACCACCATTTTACTGAGCAAACCTCTTCGCATCCGTTTGGAAAGAGAGAAGTGTTTCCCCCTGTAGCTTTGCAGCGTGTGCCCCACAGCGCGCCTCGGCAAGCAGGGAGGGAAGGAGCTGGACCCAGCCCAGCTAGTCCCATCCTAGCCCCAAAAAGTCTCGCAAAAGCCATTAGAGTCCTACCACCAGGTTATTTTAAGTAGCCAGAAAAGGAAGGAGATGGCTGCAGAGGGCCCAGCAGACAAACGGCTCAGTGTAAGTGACTTGGAGTCTTAGCTTGGTGTAAAAATTACTCAAACACTGTAAGTAAAGTCAAAATTCTAACATTTTTTGAAACTTCCCTGAGAGTTTTGGAGCCCAAAGAAAATTCTCACCAAGTTCAAAATTCATCGTGAGCTTAACATTTTTTTTTACTCCCTTTATTAAAGATTCAGTAGATGTTTGCACGTGCAGTTGCTGCATCGCGGGGAGCAAAGCCCTCACTTGCTCCGACCACCAAAAACCACCGCCGCTCTGACGGGGTGCCCCCACACTCCCCCAAAACGCATTCGCCCCCCCCCGAAAGAGCCAGGGCCAGGCTGCAGCCACACCACGGCCAGGCTTCTACGGAGCGAGGGTTCCTCGAGCACTGGGAGATGGATGGAGACCCCACGTGGGGACCGGTGGTGCTGAGGGGTCCTGCCCACCCGTCTCTGCCCGTTTGGGTGTGCGCCGTGCCAGCGGCCGTGTCTGCCTGTCCCCAGTGTCACCCCACAGGAGCTGCTTTGCTTCTCCATCCCTAGCTGTCCCTGCACGGAGGGGACGGGCCAGTGACCTCGGCTCCTGCTACCTACGTGTAACCCCCGGGAGCAGCAGAGATGCCGGGGGGAGCCCCGTATCAGCCACCCCCTCCTAAGGGGTCGGTCTCCATCACAGGGGGGACCGTCCCTCTCTGGGATCCGCACGGCCTCTCCGGAGCAGGGCAAACTTCCACCTTTGCTTTTGCAGAAGATACTTCTTCATAAAGGGTTTAAATTAGGGGCCAACACTTCACAAATAAAAAAATAAAATTTAAAAATAAATAAATAAAGAAAGAAGAGCCAGACCCAAAATGAAGTGCTCTCAGAAGCTGGGGAAAAAGCAGCTTGGGTCCAACTCCCAACTCGCCAACTTGAGCCTGTTTCTAAGACGCCCTGACCCAAAACCCCCATCCGTGTTCTGGAGACGGCTCCAGACTCTGCCGGCAGCATCTGAGCGCAGGGACGCAGCCTGCCCCTGCCTGACGCGCAGCCCTGTGCCAGTTAGAGCCCTGCACGTGTGCAGCAGCCGCTATGAGCCACGGGAGCACCAGCGTGGGATACGAGAGGACCGTCACCACGTTTGAGGCTGCTCCTATTCTCCCTGAAGTGATGTTGCAGTAAGAGACAAGACATGGATTCTCCTGTGCAAACCAAGCAGCACAAGAAAGATGCTTCCCCCAAGCTTTCCAAGACAGACTTTCCCCTCAAGCAAAGGGGAAAGATGAGAAGAAAAGCAGTGGGGAGAAAAAAAAAATATTAAAAAAATCAATCGAGTTTTGGTATGAGCCCTGAAATCACCGTCATTCTGTCCTGTCCCGACGTCCCCACAACACCCCCCCTGCCAGCATTGCCTTCTCACAGACGGCAGACCCCCCGCATCCACACGGTACCGTCGCTTCAGACCCAAGATGATCCTCATCCACAGCTCCTGCCACCACCACGCCGGGGGGAGCGGGATGGGTGCGAGGGCAGAGCCGCGTCGCATCGCCCATCCCCGGAGCCGTGCCTGACCTGGCACGCAGCGCTCGCTCCGTCCGTCCGTGCCACCGGCCCTCCTGGCAAGTCCCGACGCCTCTCCTCGGTGCGCAGGTCCCAGCAGAGCCGCCAGTTCAACCTGCAACGTAAC